TTGACCGATCTCAAATGGTTGGGAAAAATCTGACCCTTTAACAACTTATTGATTCTTTCAAAATGTCCTTTAAACACTTCCTAATTCCGACTAACGCAAAGAACCATAATCGATCCGACTAACATAGAACCATAGTCCATTCTTACGGGTGCTACTTTCTCCATACACCCTAACCGGAAACCAAGACTGATTTCCACATCGAAAGAAAGTTGAAATACAAAGAGATTAAAAAGAAAAAAAAGTTAGTCATTATTGCTATTATTATTGATATGTGAAAGGCCTTCATCAACCACGAGCACCTATCCATACAAAACAAAAATAATTAAATAAACCCTAGTTTTGTAGAGAGAGATCAGTCAAGATACTAACCGGGGCTGCATTTGATTTCACACTTGCGCTCGCAGCGAGCTTGCAGGCGTTATGTAATTCAGATAGAGAATTGAAAAAGTCCAGGCTTCCATTCTCACTTAATGTATTAAAAAACCATAAACATTTTAAAAAATGGGTAAGAGCATGATATCCCCACTGAATCACCAGAAAAGTTTATCATTTAAATTCCAACAAAAAAAATAACTGGATAGAGAAATAAATTATTTAAAAAGTGAAAAAAAACAAAGGAGGCTTATAGAAGATAAGGGCTTACGATTCTTTTGAACACCGGCAGTGGTACAGCCATCATTGCACCAAATAGGCTCATCCGCTCTCCCAACTGTTTTCACAGACAGTATTAACAGAGCGACCAAAAAGAACACCTCCACTTTCTTCATCTCTATACGTCTCTCTTTGAAAAGCATCTGATTTGAATCTCTATGCTGAATTGCAGTCTCCATTCTCTCTCCCCCATGGGTGGGACTGCCTGTTTATCTCTCTCTCTCTAAGTTTAATAAAGCTCTGACATAGTCAATGTGGTTTGGACACTTGCGATCATGAACGCCCGATTTGCATTAATATATTTGATCAAGCTCAATTCAAAATACTTTTTTTGAAACCTTGTGACAGACCCAAACTATTCCATAAGTAAATGGCCTTATATATAATCTCTTTTGGTATAAAATCGTTACACAAACATTACAGTTTAAAGGAAAAAGTTGATATAAGTGTGAGGCCCTAAATAATCAAATTAAGGTGCACTTAAAAATTTCACTAGAAGAGGTTATTTTGATACTGAAAAACCATTAGTTCGATCATCTTGATTTCAAGATGTATGGACATAAAAAAAATAGATTTCAAATATGGGAGATAATACATATTTTAATGTATCATCTAGATCTCGAATTTTTAATATTTTCAAGTGCCATAGATATGTTTGATTCACACTATTTTTTAATATTTAAATTTCATAATTAGAGTTGAAAATAAATTTTGAGGCCATCAAAAGGATTTTTGATGATGAAACAACTTATTTCGACGATATTTGAAGGAGTTATTTTGATTGTTTAGGGCCTCAGCCTTATAAAAACGACAACCTGATTTAAAAGATCCCAATCGAGGTTTAAAAAAAAACTTGGATTGGCCACCCAAAAAATCATGTTGGATTAGTAGATCGAAGATTTGGATCAGAAAATCGATCACATCTGCAAGAGCCGTCAATGTAGAGGATGGGTGGTTTATATATAAGATTTTCATGAACCTGCACTTTGAGTTCTCCTTAAAATATAAGTCGGAAGAAGAAATATGTTGTTTTCTTTTAGGAAAAAGTTTATATAAAGGTGAGGCTCTAAACAATCAAATTAAGGCGTGCCTCAAAAGTTCGCCAAAAGGATTTGTTTTGATATTGAAAAACCTTCAATTCAATCTTCTCGACATCAAGATGTATGAACAAGGGAAACAATTGATTTCATATCATGGAAAGTGTCATGTATTATCTTGACCGTTATTTTTTTGGAATTTTCTGTGTTTATAGATCTGCTTAATCTACATTATTTTTAAAATTTTTAAATTATATAATCAGAGATAAAAAGGACGACCATAAAGATTTTTGTACATCATGCAGTAATTACATAATGGAAAGGTTTTATACTTCCCCTACAACATAGAAGATACATACTCCCCCCATCCAACTATCTAATTTAGATCAAGTGAGCCATTGGTCATTTGATCTAGAGACCGACACCTTAGACCACTTTATTTTTAGATTTTTTTTTAAATTATATGAAAATGAAATTTGGTAGGTTCCATATTCTCGATGGGGCGAATCTAAAAAGAATATTAAAAGTAATTTCCAAAATACCTCTTGGATATTTCAGGAGTATTTTGGCCATTTTATTTTGTTGGGAATATTTTGCTTCTATTTTTTACAAGTGCGAGTTTAAGAGAGGGGTGGATGCCCAAAATTTGGTGTCAAAATAATTTGTATTAAAAACTCAAAAGTAAAATAGTGTAGAGACGTGACATTGTGATTGGGGCCATCTATGTCATCTATTCACAATGGACTGTTGGATAAGAGAAGGATATAAGTTTTATGCAGTAGAGGAAACATAAAAAGCTTGCCCGTTAGATAATTATACGGACAAGTTGTGAAAAACGGTAAAGTCTTGTTTGAACTTTGCTTTCCAAGATTTATTGGAATTATTTTCCATGGAGAGATTATGATTTGTTATTATAAGGCACTCTCTATGTGCCCCATGTGCTTTAGAAAGATAAGGTTGAAGATACCTTCAATTTTGTTGGTAATCAATCACTTTGTTTGTTTGTTTTTTTTGTAATTTTTTTTAATTTTTGAAGTACTCGAACAACAATTTCTAAGTAAAATAGTTGAAAGTTATTATTGAAATAATCTTCCCAAGTATCTATTTTGCCCAATGCTATAAATGTACATGCTCCTCCCACGATGTAAATTCTGATAAATAATCCTTCTATATCTCACTAAAATTTCATGTCCAAATCTAAGGCTATATGCTCTCTTTCTTATTAGGATTTCAAATGCTACCCTTCTCTCAATTCTTTCCTGTGATAGTGTGTGCCTCCTTCTACTCTTATGCCTTAAAAGGGCATAAATGTTCTCCCTTTATATATACACAAACACACCCACGGTATTTTTTCCTAGGGGTGGCAACGGATAGACCCAGAGCCAACCACCTGAAATTGTCGGATCCGGACCCAATTGGACTTTAGACCTTACGGGACTTTAGACCTTACCGAAAAATAAAAGGGCAATTATCATAAATAAACTTGGCGCACACCTTTTTTCTTTTTTTTACCAAAATAATCTTCATGATAGTCATATTACCATGAAGACCCGTTAAAGTACTGTAAACATAAATACGGCAAGGAGTTGAAGCATTATTATGGCACTTGAAATTTCGTAATAGTATCGCACCCTATAAACCCTACCCTATCCGAAACCCTTGCTTCTTTACAGTTTTATTTGTATTTATCTCTTTAATTCTATTTACATTTATCTCTTCTATCTCTCTCTTTTTTTTTTAATATCTATCTCTTCTTTCTCTCTTAAAATCTTTTATCTTTCAATCTTTATCTCTTTGGCAGTTTAGACTGAGAAAGAAGAGATAAATAGTAAAACGAATTAGAGAGAGGAAGATGTGATAAATATAAAAATAATTAGAGAGAAAATAC